TCCCCTTGACCTTAGCTCTTTTCCCGTGCTCCTCTCTGCCCTCGGCGGCGGTGGCGGCCTTTGTTGAGCTGTCGGCATTAACTCTTCGCGGCCCCCTCTCTCACAACCTCCCCCTCTTCCTTCAACACTCTCTCCTCCATCTTCCCCGGGGGCCAAGCCTCTTCTTCTTCTTCAGCCACTTCCCCCTGTGTGGCTGATTTTCGGGGTACACCCATCTGGTCTGTAGCAAACGCCCCAGTGGGGAATTTTGTTTTCCCAGAATGCTAATCTGACCCGAGGGGGCTTCATTCCCACATTCTGGGATCTGGGATTTATTCTTTTGTTTTTGAAGGGAGAAGCTCTGCTGGATTCCTGTCATCTCATGATAAGTAAAACTAGTTGCAACCTCTGGAGTCCATTGCAGGATTATGATCGGGATTTATGTTCCTGGCGAGACTTCGGTGGCTAAAACCGTCACAGAGTGTATGTTTTTTTGGAATTTCACTGAAAAACACAAACTAATAAATCCGTTGAACCCTCTCCGACATTTGAACTTTTACCCAATTGCCTCAATAAACGTGTACTGGAACCCCAGCGCTGCTGTGTAATTTGATTCTACAAGACTGTAAAACCACATTTAACTTCAGTCTCCCTGTTTGCCCCTGTTTATAGGATTTTGCCTCCTAGCGACTCGCTTTCCCATGAGTCCTGCCCTGATTGTGTCTTGCACCATTATCATTGTTTTTAATTTTTTGTCATTTTTGAGAGATTTGTCGCCAAAATTAGGACCTGTCACTGATCAAATACTGATGCCACGTTCAAAAGAGATGCATTACATTTTTGATTTTGTCACAACACCTCCGTGGTGCGACACAACAGCCTGGATGCTTGCAGGGGAGAGGAGGAAGAAGAGGAGGAGGAGAGGAGCCGAGTGATTTAATCTGCTAATTTTTCTCAGGTCTTTTGGCTGTTGACAGGCAAGTGTAATGGTCCTTCAAGTAATGGAATCAGCCACTCAAGCAACACATGCACGCACACACACACACACACACACACACACGCATACAGACTCACTCACAGACGCATGCACACACATTCACCCGCTGAAAGCACGCCTGTTTTGCATATGAATGACATCACCGTAAAGTTTTCTGGGGAGGTTTTGGCGGTTGGGGAGAACGGAGGGGGACGTGGTGGAGAGGAGTGCTATGAAAGGGAAAACATTAGTCAAATCACTTCCCGCTTCAGTCACCCGCCCCGGCCAAACTACTTGACATTCCACAACAGGGCTCTCTCGCCTTCAAGAAAGCATCCTCAGTGATCCGGACGTCGAACTCATCAGGCCTGAGCTGCAAGTTTTGCTAACCTCTCCGAGTATTTCTCCTTCATTATATAAATACATAAGCTCCAAGAAATTGCTTCAGGGTGTGAGTGGATTTTAAGCTTATAGTCAAAGCTACATGCTACCTGTGCAAATGACAAAACTTGATTTTGAACTATCGTCACTGGCAGGTGAAAACCTTGTCAGTCTCATTTAGGTGATATTTTAACTTAAGTTGAGGGGCTGAAGCTCCTCAAGCGCTGCCGACACTTCTGTTATTAGATAAAGTGCAAGGTTGTCAAGCTAAAATATATATTTTAAATTAAGTTTCTGAGGTTTTTCCCCTGACAAAAGGGTAATTATCAAATACTTGCAGCAACGAAACACCAGACTTTTCTTGTGTAGTTTTAGCTCTTCACCTACATGCATATTTACACATATTTTGTCAGGTTTCCATTGTCATTGTCACGTCTTCAGTAAGCACTAATTAGTCAAAAGACCTCTACATGTTTAGGACAAAAAGGTGCTAAATTTGGTTGAAAGATTTGTGTTTTATACATCCTTGTAATATATATTCATTGCTTCAACAGCATTTCAATGACTATGTTTTAATGCAAAGCAGGACCTGACTACATATGGGAATATAGTGATTTAAATCCTGTTGAAACCTGTGGTGAGGGAAGTATTGAGAGTCTGTACTTAAAAGGTACCACACCACTACCATTACCAGGTAAGTCCTGCATTCAACATTTTTACATCAAGACTTTAGTAAAAGTATAAAAATATAAACAGCAACAATACTAGTACCATAGGTAAATCGTACTGATTATGGAACCTATCATATGTTATACTAATATATATGTTACATTATTTCATGCATTACTTTGTAAATAGCTTAATTTACCTTAGTATCGTAGTTTAAACTATAACATTACATCATATTTTAGGATAGGATGATATACTTTTTATGTGAATAAAAATCATAAATAAGAAGTATTAAGTTGCATAAAATGGAAATACAGGTACCTCAAAACTGTAAGCCTTGAATTGTTACTTTCTGCCACTGGTTAAAATTGTTACATGTAACTGGTAATCTAGATGTCTAAAAAAACCGTTCATTCTTTAAAAACAAATATTATGCAAATTACTGCAAATCTCTTTGCTCGGGCCCTTGTAAGATTTCCAGCAGCGACAAGATGGAGCAAGTACACCAATCACAGGTGACTGTCAGTCAGAATATCAAACCCAAACATCTTGCATTCAGGGTATGCAAAGGTTTTGACAATTATTCTGGGTTTGTACAGAGAATATTTTTCTTCATTTTCCCAACCTGTAGGATGACACCTGAATACACCAAACTGACAGACTTTTATTTTTTCTCTTCTTTCAGCACCTTTACCAAAAGATAATATTGAGATTTAAGCAAAAATAAAGCAGTTTCATGCACACATTGCCTAATCTAACATGAATAATAATGTCATGAGTGAACAGATTCAAAATTATGGCTGAACAACAAAAAAACACACTTTACTCAGTGGTGAATTTTGTGTCCAAGGGGCTAAAATGCGGTACTCCATCAATGCCATCACGGTGAGAATCGAGTATCTGGAAAGCCTTGATAATCTTTAGCGAAGACACTCCAGCTCAACAAATACACACGCACCTCTTTATTCATCATCTATATTTATTATAATTGGAGTGTTTCACAGGACGAAGTACCCTTCAAAGCATTTGAAGCCATTTTGTCTTTGCTCGCTGAACAGATTTGCCGGGCCGCACCACTGGGAGGCAGCTCACAAAGGTGGACAGATCTGGACGGACGCCCACTTTTTCTTGGCACTGACCACGGTCGGATCCAAAGACACACACATCCTCTGTCCTAGCGACCGGTTGCAAACACGTTTCCCTCCAAAATCACACAGAATGGCCTACTAGGGGCGCATTCCTGCATACCAATTACAATTCTGAGGAACTTGTGAAAGGAGCAGCACCCGAGACCTTGGACGTGCACCAAAACCCGCCATTTCCCATTTTGGACGCCCCCTGCCACCGGCCCTTGTTTACTTGTCCATCAAATCGTTCTGGCTGGAAGTGCGGCCTTTCCATTTTTTAATGATCTAAACCAATCCAAGATACATTAATGTCACCGCGGCGCCATCTTGGAATCTGATCCCCTCAGTCTCAGGATGGGATGCAGCGAACAGCCATTTTGTGCTTTATGTCAAAAGGAAGCCACACCCTAACTCGATAAGAGCAGCTCCTCACACACACGACTCTCTGTCCTTTAGGATGCTCAACACATCAAGCATAACGAAGGGTGGAGGTTTTCTTTTTGTCTCAGAGACCTGACAAACCTTTGAGCGTGAACGACTATAACTTAGACTGTGATCCAACATGGCTGCAAATGACAGCCTGGTTGTACGCCGTCACTCCAGCTTGCTCTAGTGTGCTTAACATTGACACTCAGTTCATTAAGGCCTATAGTGCTTGGCTAATGCAACTTGCCTCTTGGCAGCATGACAAAAACTGTGAATCAGATTATGAGGGCCATAACGCCGCCAAGAAACACTGAGGGCAAGGGGAGTTGTCACAGAGGAACGGCGCTCGCTCTCTGGATGTTAACGCCTGGGACATAATGTAATTGCTGCCTGCCCTGGTTAATAAGGGCACTGTAATATTTGCATGGAGATGCTGTTTATGTGTACTACGCCTCATTTCAACGCACAGCGCAGCTGTAAACAAGAGTAGAACGGCTTGTAAAGCCTCTGCTGCCACGCACCGAGGATGCAGACACCCAAGGGGGTGCGTTGGAGCTGCGTTAAAAACCTCTTTCATTGAATTACACAAGACTTCATAAAAGAGGGGAATGAATGAAAAGAGCTGCGTGATCAACCTGTACTGTAAAGGGTTACATTTCATTTGTTTTACAGTGGGATTACCCTCTTTTACATGACAATGCTAATGAATTGTGAGGGGCCCATATGTCGGTGTTGGCGCATTTGCCATATGTGGTGTCAGACAGCAAATCATGCAGTGGAAACGTTCTGCACAACACCGGTGCTGCACACAAAGACACAGTAACACTCATCCTGGATTGTGATGATCTGTTTTACTCAATAAAAACAGTAGGTTAATGGCATGTGTGTAGATGCATGTTGGCTTATTACTCATCTATACGGCAACAATGAGGTTGGGTTTTTTGCTAGCTACTACAGACAGCATCTTTGCACTGATTCATTCTACGTTAAAAGAGGACAGATCTCTGCTGTCTAGCTTGATGCCAAACACTACAGAAAATAAACCCACATCCCTGATGGTGTTTTGAAATTTGTTTGATCTCAGGGGAATTGTGATAATCTTTTCATTTGGCTGTAACGTTTTGTTGGAACTGAAATGCAGTTGATTTCTCTGTAGACGTGACTGACGCAAAAAAAAGCCAAACATTTAAGGAAAGCTGCCAGCTCTTGGGTATATTTAGATTTTTTGTCTTTTTGTTAGCTTCAATCTAAGTCCCGTCTCCCTTGATAGACAGTTATTTACATTTATATATTTCACTGAGTTACATCTCTATTGATTTTCTGAATCGTGACCGAGCTCAGTGCTTTGCTCAAGGACACTCCAGCCACCTGATGAAATGCCGATCAAATTGACAAAACATGCACAACAGCCATTTTTCAGTTGTTTTCAATGTAAACCTTTATTACTATTCCAACAGTTTTCCATACAAAGGCACATGTGGTGAACACTCAATCACAGCGATTAGATTGCATAACACAAACATTGCTGATTATATAAAACAATAAGCTACACGAAGGCATAGCTGAATAGATATGTTTGATCTGCGTTTAAGGGAAAAAGAGATTTAGTGCAACCGATTTAATTATTTTAGACCACAACTCGTGGTTTTCATGCCTCTGGACTGATATCAGAAGAGTGACTTTTTTTTGCTAAAGATTAAAAACATAATTTCAAGCTTATCCAGGCAGATAAGTAATTGTCTTGAGCACTGGGATGTGCATGATTATCAAAAGAATACATTTTCTAAATTAGGCCAAGATAGTCTCTCTTGAATCAATTGCAAAAGCACTGCATAGACATAGATTGTTTAAAGTAATATTTAAAAGATTTGCATAGATTATCAATCGTAATAAAAAATTTGCCACTTCCCAAAAATTAATATAGAATGAATTAGGCTGCGATAGTACTTGCTTTATTGCATTTGGGTATGTGTGTGTGTGTGTGTGTGTTAATGTCAAGGACAGGAAATTAAGGCAGTGTTTGAAGCCAATGTATTTGTCATGTCTCACCCAAAGATGTATCATTACAGCCAAGCAGGTAACTGCTATGAACCAAACTGCTGTGTCTCAAAGCCTGCTGGGAAGGTTTTAATAGCGTGGCGTGTTCTGTATACACGCAGCCATGAGCCCTGCTCTGCTACTTCCTGCTGATCAAACACACTTCTGCCATCAGGAATATTAAACGTGCGAGTCCACATTTACTCAGACTGTGGCTCATGGCTGCAAATCAAAGTCTGTTAAGGCTGCAAATATGAGTTTCAATACATATGAAACTGAGCTGTATTCTATCATCCATCACCCACACACAGACACACACACACACTGACTGTATTTTCTGTGTCAGTACATTAACAACGGCAATGTTGGCTCCTCAGAAATCGTTTCTCTTGATGATGTCTGAAGGAATGTCAATAAACTGGAAGCCCAAAAAAAAAAAAATCCAGAGTAAGGATAAAAGGGGCTCTGTCCAACTGGGAAAAATGAACAAAAAAAGATAAAACAGTTGCATAGAGTATAAAGACGACAGCTCACTCCTTCGCCATTGTGTCAGCCGACACACGGAGCTGTCCAATCGCAGTGCAGTATTATTCACTGCTGCCGTGGGTCTCACATTCACGTGTCTTTGAGTCCTAGCAACTATAACAAAACAGAAATGGAACTAAACATGGGCTACAACTCATCAAATATGACCTACAGTCATTCAGGCCTATGTTAGTTGAAGACACATTATATTGCTTCATGTCTAAGTAATACTGTTTACAGGTAGATATATATATATAGGAGTAATAATTACAAAATTGAGTGCCACACCCTCAAAAGTATAAAGACAAGAATCACAATCAGGGACCAGTTCGTCCACACCTCAAGCTGCTGATCTTCTGTCTGAATCTTGTTTCCAACAGTCCAACGTGATATCTGCTCTGCTAGAACACCACAAGGCATTCGCAACCAGTCCCGCTTGACTGTTGGGTCAAATAATGAATCATGCAGCAGCATCGAAGAGGTACAAACAGCGCACTGATGTTCCAAAGTCACAGCAGGAATCGCCACTGAGTCCCGTGCAGACATCAGCGGTGGCGTCCCTGTTTAGTCCAGCCTTAAAGGCGGCAAACGGCCGCTGAAGGAGGAGTCCTGCTATCCCTCCGTTGTGTGCTCGGGCCGGTTCGGATCCCCATGCATTCACCTGCAAAGAGAAATATGAGGGCCAATCATGTGAATGTCAAAACAATTATTTAAAACAGTGGACTGTGAATGCCAATTTAGGTGTATCAAAAGAAGGCCTGTCCCTGTTGTTCTTCACACATGAAAAATAACTTATGGGGGCATTTCTTGTGTGTCCTAAATCTGGCCGAGGTAAGCGCAGCTCCATGTACCAGCTGAAGGGATTGGGGCTGAAGTTGAAAGGCCTTAAGAGGAGCCTGGTACGCTACGAGCTGCTAATACAAAGAGGAAGCATGTGACACACCTTAATCTAGGCTGAGTTGGACTTCAGAAGCCAACCAAACCCCCTTTTTTTGTTACATTTTCAAGCAGCTCAGACAAGCAACTTAAAATATTACAGCGGGTCACTGAGTGCAGGGTGAACCGATAATGCAGCCGTCCAGCTTAGTGGCAGAAATCAACAACCATCCTGCTAATTAGCATCGCCTGAGCTATTAGCAAGCATCATGTTAGACTTGGCATTTACGCCGCTGTTCAGAGCGGGTGCACTCGGCTAGGGAGGGGGGGGGGCGGGAGTGGCTAACAGCGGAGGGTTGGTGCTATAAACAGGGAGGCAGGTTTTCGGGTTTGGTGTCGCTTTGGAGTTTATTGGCATTCATGGTCTTGTTTTCGTTGGAGAGGACTACAGTGAATAAGCTTGTTAATGGTTAAATTTACAGCTCCCCAGCATGTGGCCTAATAACAACCAGGGAAGAGGGGGGAATTGCAATGAGAACTGATTTGCGATTTTTGTGTGTTGTTCAGCGAGTGTTGTTGTGATGGTGTGATCACGATGGGAGGGGGATGGGGGGTGTAATTAGAGACAAAGGAGAGAGAAAAAGTGGAAGACGCCGGGTAATTAAGAGTCTAAGAAGATGTGAGAGGAGGCGCACACCGCTCAAACCAAACTCTGAGCCGGATTCCTCCTTTTTATTTATGCACCGACCTCGAAACCCCCATCCCTCTTCCACTCTCTCCCTCGCCTCTTTACTTGTCCCTCCCCCTGCTGAATGAATAGGTATCACAGTGTTACGGTGTCCCATCTAGCAACACCCCCCTCCCCCATCCTCCAGCTTCTTTCTCAACACTCCCCCCTCCAGCACGGCTCTGAATAGGGAGCCG